CGCCAAGCGCCGCGTGCCCGGCGCTCCCCCCGCCGGTGCTCACCGTGCGCCATGTGCGAGGGGCCAGCCCCAAGCACCGTGTTGGGGACCAGTATCAGCACAGGTACGTTCTATGCCCAGCGTATAAGACGACCCCCGATTTTTGGGGGATGTTTTTTAGTGTAAAAAGTCGTGTTATACCCCGGAAAATACGGTACTCGCCACAGGCGAACAGATTGTATAATTTGTTGAGCCCTGTGCATTACATTTATAAGATGTAGATGTTAAGCAAATACCACATGGTTATAGAGGTCTGGTTCTAGAATCCACATGTTAAAAATATTTAAATATATTTGCAGCTAGCATAGTTATATTTCTGCAATTAATTCAAAGTGGTTTTGTACCTGTGGAGCAAACCTTCAGCATGAAATTAACCATGGCACTCTGTGGAATAATTCAACACCACTTGCTTTAATTCTGTCACTTTCCTCAGTTAAGATAAAAGTTTTTCACCATAGCAACGCTAGCCCTAAACACATTGTTACTATTTGTTTTTCTGGGGGTGGGTGGGGGGGGGGAAAAACACATTCATTGCTATTTTCCCTACTTTAATAAAATTCTGTTTCCAGACAAATTAGGACCTGAATTTCCTCTCAATAGATGTAATTTAGCCCAACAGTTTTAAAACAAGGTTTTTCCCTGAAAAAGGATGAGTGTGAGTATGCCTGTGATACCTGGGCTTATGTTTCAGGCCCTCATCTTATTACAAAGACTTACAAAGAGACGTATGACTCATGACCTACAAGGAGAGGCTGATGGATTTGAGCTTATTTAGTCTACAGATGAGAAGAGTGAGGGGAGTTTTGATAGCAGCCTTTAACTACCTTGATGGGGTTCCAAAGAGGATGGAGAGAGGCTGTTTTCAGTGATGGCAGATGACAGAACAAGGAGCAATAGTCTCAAGTTGCAGTGGGGGAGGTCTAGGTCGGATATTAGGAAAAACTATTAACCTGGGAGGGTGGTGAAGCACTGGGATGGGTTCCCTAAGGAGGTGGTGGAATCTCCATTCCCAGAGGTTTTAAAGTCCTGGCTTGACACAGCCCTGGCTGAGATGATTTAGTTGGGGTTGGTCCTGCTTTGGGCAGGGGGTTGGATTCAATGACCTCCTGAAATCTCTTCTAACCCTATGATTCTATGATTTTATGGTATCTTAAGACATGTGTTAAGAGGGTTATATCACAACAGAAATTGAGGGGTCAAGAGTTTAGCTCACTGATCTCATTGGTCTCTTCATGATGCAAAACTAATGAAAATTTCTATATCTAAAAAGCTTAAGCATATATCTGGACACTATGCTTAAGGCAGCATAACCCCTAATTACTGAACAATACAAAATATTTTACATATTAAGCAAGAATGTTCTTGAGTATTTTACTTACAGGTAGAGTGAAGAAGGTAGGATGTTTAGGTTCATCTTCATATTTGCCCTCCGTTGAACTTCCAGTCTCCACTGATTTAGAAGCAGTGTTCTTGCCAATCCCCATTGTTTCCAGAATGCCAAAAACCTTCACGCAGTAGTTAAATTGAACTTTATGAGAGGGGAAGGTATAGAACAGGGCAGTTTCTGCTACAGATGGCACCACCTCCGGAAGTTAGAACGGCGCTTAATTGTCAAGATGAAGCATTAGGTCCTAGGGGTACCATTAGCGTCAATGGCACCTAGAAATAAAGAAGTGAAACTATTATTTTTTTCACAATATGCTGCACATTTGTGTACTTTATTGAACAACAACAAGAAGTCACTGTTTTAAAAAAATCCAACAACCACAACCACTGAGCACACAATCACTTCATCTAACATCCCATATGGAACATTACAGTGATCCAGGTTTCCCCTAATGCCCTAAAGCAGGCATGTCCAAAGTCCGGCCCGCGGGCCAATTGCGGCCCGTGTTCCGGTTTAATACGGCCCCACAGGTAATTTGGCAATATCTATCTTTTATGGCCCCCAACGAATCCATATGTATTGAGATGAATACATTGTAAAATCTCAGTTAATGTCAGTTGGTCTAAATCAGTTATAAATATATTTGGACACAACATGTATACTTGGTGTTATGTTCCTGTTCATATTTTTTGAACTTAAAAGTTGACAGACAACCTTTATTACCAATAATATGTAATGTACTTTACAATGTTCCTGACATATATTTCAGCTTCCTGGATTTTTTTTTCATCTGGCCTTCAGATATGAAAGGCAGAGTGATTTAACACCTGTTTAGATTTGTCATCCATGTGACGAAATGAAAAGTATGCCGTTTGCAATAAACTTTGCATAAAATAGTTAATTTGCATTTAATTTTAATGGTTCAAAGAATGTCAGGCAAAATGGTCGGCCCTCACGCATATTCACTTCATCAAATCTGGCCCTCTTTGAAAAAAGTTTGGACACCCCTGCCCTAAAGGAAAGGACTCCTAATATACTCCACTATCTGCTATAATTTAGCCTCTCACTTTGAATTTTCTTCCAATTTAGGAGACAAATCAAACCCTATTGCTGGTTCCTCTTTCCCCAAAATCTGGAGTATCATTGACTTATAAATGCCATTTGCAGCTCTGTATACTTTTACAATATGAACAGTGTTTAACATGTTACACTAGCCTACAATACACACCTCTGTTTATGACTTTATAATTTACCGTTACAACATCTATTTTGAGTGTTTGAGTGAGAGAGGTTTCCTTTGGGATGAATTTCTTTCATTATTCTCATGCTGAACATCTTCTGCAGTCACAGCCCAAGAGGGAGGGAGGTGCCTTGCATCTTGAAAAAGTTAGTCTCAAAATATTGGAGACTTGTGTTTTGGGGTTATTTTAGTTCCACTAATTCAGGTGGATTAGGGTCATATGTAAAAAAAACACCTTTCTGCAAACAGATGAGAGTTCCTCAAAGTTATGCTTCTTGAAGTAGTAAATCCTATGGACCTACATATGGGAAAACCTCCTCCTGTCATTTAAAATAGGAAAATCATCAATTTAGCTTGACACATGAGCACTCTGAGCTGGCAGAACCGCACTGGGGTTGGTTCTGCCAGCTCCTAGCCCCCACATGGGGGCTGGGACTACCACTGGCTTTCCAGCCATTGCTGATTCTTGAGACATAAGGGTTAATTTCAGATATAGAGGCAGCAGCGTCAGGTGGCAGGGGCCTCCCCAGGAGTGGAGCCAGGAGCAGAGAGCACACTAGCTCTAAAAACACAATATCTAACATTCCTAGTGTAGACCAAAAGCATAAAATATGAAGTGACAAACACAAAAACTGAAGCTTTAGGGAGTAGCCGAGTTAGTCTATGGTTTACAGGATAAACTTAAAAAACAACAAATGACTAACAACTTTATAGACTAACAAAACATGTAGATGGTATCATGAGCTTTCGTAAACACAGCCCACTTCTTCAGATGACCGGAGTTTTGAGAAAACTAAAGAAAGGGAAATCAAGAGAGTAAAAGAAACAAGAACATTTTAAAAATACTTTAACATAATAAAAAAGACCACTCTTGTTTGGTGCAGAGGAAAGGATTAACTAAAATGAGGCAGCTAAGAAATGGTGTTTCACAGAATGTTTTATGAGATCACAGTGAAAATACAATGTACAGTTGGGGACATAAAATTTTAAATGATGCTCAATGTGTGATCTTACTACCAGATGGAGCCCTAATGTACACAGATTAGATGTATATAATAATTCTTTTTTTCCAGTTTTAAATGTGTTGCTTTTTAATTTAATTGGATGCTTTCTTTATAGCATGACAATTTAAAAAGGAGTTCCCAGATGACAACCTACACACAGTTAATTGTTTTATAAACAACTCAATCACATCCCCTTTGTTTGGCAAATCTTAATCAATGAAGACAAATTGTAAATTTGAATCTGAAACATTTCTTAGAATACTGAAGAGCAGAGCTAAAGAAATAAGTTTCAATGTCACTCAAGACATCTCTGTCATTGTAACATGAAATTCTTAACTGTGAAATGTGCACTTTTAAGTGCATTAAAAAATTTGCAATTGTCCAAGATACTGCTGAAGCCCCCGATATATGCTATTCAAGACTAGATAAAAGGGCCACATATTAGGATCCCACAACATTTTAGGATACAGTAATAGTCAAATATTTTGAAAAGTTAGCTGTAGTTCTGTCTTTCAAATACTACAAGTGTGATGTAAACAGTACAATTTAATGTTGCATAAACAAAAATTTGGAAGCTTCAGGGGGTAGCCGAGTTAGTCTGTACAGGATAAACTTAAAAAACAACAAATGGTCTGGCAGCATTTTATAGACTAACAAAACATGTAGATGGTATCATGAGCTTTCGTGAACATAGCCCACTTCTTCATCTGAAAAACTCTGGTCATCTGAAGAAGTGCGCGGTGCCCAAGAAAGCTCATGATACCATCTACATGTTTTGTTAGTCTATGAAGTGCTACCAGACCATTTGTTGATTTTTAAGTTTATAAAAATTTAGAAGTTACTGATGTATTCTTTGGTAACAAAATCAATAGCTTAAATATATTATAAAATTACTTATCAGGCAGTAAACTAGCAAAATACGTCATTCAAGCCCACTTTGTGTGGTTTGCCACAAAATTAATGGCATGACACGTCAACCCTGCTGTGGCTCCCCCGCTTATCGACTAGTCAATGGAAAATCCATCAACTAGACAATTAGTTGATTAAACTATATTTAACATCCCCATTCTATATTTAAAAAAGTTTTTCCTGCTGGACGACAGAGTGATGTCATCACGTGACTCTGTGTTCCACCTGCCTCCTCCCTGTTTCCCCTCTCCTAGCTCAACCCCAATTTCGCTGCTTCCCCTCGCCACTTGGAATTGCTATTTTAAACTGAGCCCCTACTCCCCTTCCTCCACCCACAACCCCACAGGTGCCAAGAAAGATGGCACAAAAGCCAGCAGACCCCACATCGCAGCTGTGACAGCCCAGGGGCAGAGGGAGGGTACGGTGCTCAGGGACGCAGCCCGGGGACAGGCAATAGGAGGGGGCTCCCAGCCAGGCTTATGTGCCAGTAGCGGGCTCTTGGGGCATGGTGCCCGAATGCCTGGAGTCCAGCTGCTCATGCAGAAACTCACCCCCTTCCCAGCAGCCACTCCGACCTGTCAGCACCTTTCCTTCTGCTCCCCGCAGGCAAATGGGAGGCCCTGGGCGCTATGGGCAGGGCTGGGGCAGTGAGCAGTGCAGGTGGGAAGGCACAGGAGAGAGGACGGACAGATCCCCTTGTGCTGCTGCTTTTCCCACTTCAGCAGGCTGCAGTGCCCCAGAGCACTGCGTGCACATGGCATTATCTGCGCATCCCTGTGCCCCATGTGGGATGGGCAGGCAACCCTGCGCCTTCCTGGCTGCCGGGACTAGAACTGGGCCTGCTGTGAGCCATGGCTGGGAGAGGGGATAGCATTGGGCAGGGGGAGAGAAGAGCCCAGGCTGGTGGGGAAGGGAGAAGGAGAAGGGGCCCAGGCTTGCAGGGGCAGAGGTGGAGAGAGAAGGGGTCCGGGCTGATGCTGCGGGGGGAGGGAGGCACGAGTACAGCAAGCAAGGGGCACAGACCCCTAGTAATATTTAACCGGTTAACTTATTAAACAGGGGTGGCCTACTGCAGGTGGGGACTACTCTAATGGGGCTGAAGCACCCCTGTCCATGGCAGGCCCCATAGGGCAGGAACAGCCCCCTGTAACTGTAACCAGTAAGCATCACTTGGTTAGGATGAAGCTTATCGGTTAACCATTCATATCCCAGACAATCACACTCATTCTTTAATTCAGTTTGCTTCATTTCTAAGCTCTGTGGCAATGACTTGATGTCAAGTATGTCTAAGCTCTGTGGCAATGACTTGATGTCCTGGTTTCTGGCCCTCCTGCTCTAACCACTACACCCTCCTGCTCTAACCACTACACCCCACTCCCCTCTGTAATAGCTGTATTAGTCCTGGTATAGACGACCCTCTTCCAGTGCCCCAAGTGACCCTCTGCAAGCAGCAGGCCTGTGCCTTCACTTCCTTTTCTACTGAGATTCCATGATCCAGCCACTCACTCACTGGGCGTCCACATTACAAGCCCTGGATTCCAAGAGTAGGCAACTGATTCTACAGATTCAACAAAGCCTGGCCCCAGCAATGGTTTCTCTTCCGAAGCCATGCCAGCATGTTTGTTTTTAGTAAGACAAACTGCTCCCTCAAAATAAAACATGCTTACTTTGCCCAAAAAGAATGCAGAGCTTTTAAAAGGTGAATTTAAAACAAGACTGTCATGGCTCAGGAGGGTCTGGCTTACTCCCCACCTCTGCACTGGGAGAACCAGGCTACACCTGCTTGAAGCCTGGTCCCTCTGTTTCTGCAGAACTCCAGCTCAAGGTGTGACTGCAGCTCATGTACATAGAACCTATGGTAGCTTTACCTATTCCTAAAAATAGCCATGCAGATGCAGCATCGCAGGCTTAAGCAATGCTTTATAGGTGCCCAGATTTCTGAGCATGCTTACACAGTCAACACTGAAGCCCAGGCAGCCACATGTCCACTATACTGTTACATTTAGCAATGGTAGCATGGGCATGTCACAGACAGACAGGGAGCAGGAGAATAGATGGCAAACTCCATTAAAAGTGATGCAACTTGGAAATTATTTAACAACTTCTTCCATTGTGATTT